GCATCGTCCCGTGCCGAGACATTTAGCCCTGGACAACGCCAGTGACACAACTGCCACCCGAGACAGTAACTCCGGGTTTTATCTGTATACTTAATAAAAGCGGTCTTGTGGTTCTGTGCGGTTCCTACTCCGTTTTTGATTGACTGGCGTCAAGAGTCATAGGTTTGTTCGCCGATAGCATAGTCCGTAAAAGCGGCACTATGACGCGTGCCCGTCAGCCTCTCTTGGGAATCGTTTTTGAGGGCTGTCTATCTTACACTCAGCTGTTTCAGACAGACTCGCTGACCGTAAAAAAATTTGGCTACTTTCACGCTGACCCCCATACAATTGACGTCCAGGTAGTCGCGGCCACATGAACCACTATCCCCCCCCCGCCACCGACGCAGCGAGGGCTAAATCCGCTGCCTCCGGCCATTGAACACTTAGGTGTCCACCTGGAAAATGGCCAACGGATTTACTTTGTGGAAGAATCCCTCTTGAATCAACTTCAAAATCCCAAAAGATACGACTTTAGCTGCATTCCTCAAATTTGACCAGCGAGGTTTATTTGTCCTGACGCTTTTGCATATTGAAGTCTCATCATACTACACGTGGAACGATGCGTGGTATGCCTCAAAATGATGATAAGTGGGAGAATACCATTGCTGAAGCTATTATTACTAATACTCCTTATCCATTACGACGACTACCTGCTTTTTGATTAGGAACTGGGAGCGGTGGATAGAACACTGCGTGATGTCACAGAACAACCCATTCCGCTTGGTTGCCTCACAGTGGTTTTACCTGGTTATTTCCGTCAGACATTACATGTGATTCAAAGGGGCACCAGAGGTGACCAGGTAAAATACTTCCTGAAATATCCACCGTTGTGGTCAAGGGTAAAGGCATTAAAGCTCCCGACCAATAACATTGACACCGATGCAACCGAAAACATCCCCATTACTTTTGTTACAAATTTTCTGTTCAGTGGCCAAGTTCTTAGAGAAAAAAAATTTCCCTTATCTTCAAACCACCTTGGGAACTATAATGGGCAGGGAGGTCTTAAGGCGAAGCCGGGCTTTTTCGCTAGTGCACAATAAACTCTCCATCGGGTGGCCCTTTATTGTGATCTTTCTTGGGGATTCCACAGAGCGTAATAAGACGGGGACACAGCCGGAAGTTGCCGTTACAGCAAAAGGTACACTATCGGTACAGAGATAATTATGTCAATAAAAGGGTGCAGAGTACCGCACAAAGAAAACCTACATTTTTTCCACTATTTGGGCGCACCATCATCAATCACCGTCAATTATATTCTGCTGCGGATAAGCTTTCATCGGCCTATCGAGCCAAATCCTCCTTGCATCTCTATTGCTGTTTAGAGTAATCGTATATACAGTGGTGCTGTTACCGCCGAGAAAACGAAGTAGACCTCACTCTTTCTGAGACATTGGCTAAATGATTTAAAATTGCCAACTTTTGTTTCGTTCTTGTGGAGCGAAATGCGAAGCTCTTTCAACCATGACAGTTCTACACCTGCGTTTGATGAGTGCAGTACACGTTAA